TATGTAAACCTCACCTGGACTTCACACAGGGATCCGGTCGCCAGACAATTTTCCTACCCAGCAGACCATACAAGCCCCTTATGTGTTCTGCCAACCTGTGGCTCCGAGTCAGGAGAGACAGAGGTCATTGAAATCCACACGTGCCCCACACAAATCCCTGCCGCCTTTTGAACATTTGCTCCTGCGGACGCACTTGCGAAGTTGACAAATGCGCGCTTCGATGGCAACGAATCTCCGTCYTTCAGAAGTGCTTGGCTCCAAACACAATAACACTGCAGATACTGAATATGTGCACTAAGTGAGCAATCAGCTGCAAAGTGGGCAGAAAATTACACTTGTCCTCCCTGTGATGATGTGCATAAAGAAATAAATCAGAGAGCAGAGAAGGAGCTGAAGGGCAAGAGGGAAAAGTGGTATCACCTGATCGGTCTTATGTTAAAAAGCAGCATGATTTGGCGACTCGACTCCTCGGAAAAACAGCTACAACCATCCCGGTCCAATTTTATAGGAGAGATTTCTGTGAAATGATTGCTAATCTATGCAAAAAAGCAATCAGTGACTCATTCATAATGCATGAGCAACGAGATACCAATTTTGCCACGCTTTCGGATTATTAGATGTTATCACCAAATGCAGCAAATGAAATATGAACACTCCTACCTGTTTTATTGCAATTATATGACTGCAGTGGCCCCGGTATACTGTACACCAGGGGGAGGAAATATGAAAAAGAAACACCCAGAGAGACAGACCATCAGATTGAACATCCATTACTATCTGACTGCAGATAGCTCGAGATGGGAATATTTGTTTCTAACAGCTTTATGTATCCATTTGTGCCGTGATTTATCAACCTAAAAGCTGCAGTTTTAAGTACATCTGGCTGACGTTTTAATGGTCCATCAATCACACCGTGTCACGTGATAACATTTTCAGATCACCCTCCTTCTGAGCTGCTGAAGAAAAATAATAATAAAATAACAACAAATCCAATAAACTGGCTGCAATCCAGGAGAAATGATGAGAACCTATTTTAGAATTCAAAGCAAGTTCAAAGTATGAACGTTAGATAAGCTGCTTCTCAAATTAATGCAAATCAAATTTCATTCAGGATGTTTTTGTTTTATATTATAGACCCACATATTACTGAATATATTTCTGTGTCACCACACTTTAGTTAAAAGCCTCACAGAAAAATAAATCCTGTTTGGACTATTGGATTCATTTTAGCATGTGACTTTGTGTCAGTTATTATTGGGACATTCACCATTTTATACACAACAACATGAGAAATGTATGTTTTTTGCTAAAATACAGAGTGAATGCTGTCTGAAGTTTGTAGAAAAAGCTGAAGTTGTTAATTGGAAAAAGCAGAACAAAACTAAAATGAGCAATTACAGAGCTAAAAGATAAAATATGCAAAACCATAGCTGAAACGAACCATAGCTAATTGTTAAAAAACAGAACAGAACCATAGCTAAAAGCTCAAGTCAATTAAACCCAACTAAAGTAAACCACACATACATATTGAAAAAGAAAATTCTAGCTAAAACGGTCCATAAGTTAAGCAAGAACATACCTAAATGCCAAAAATGGAAGAACAGTAGCTAACAAAATATCTATAGTTAAAAACTAAAAATCAGCTAAATGGTAGCTAAAAAGGTAAAATACACTAAATTGTACATACAAGCTAAAAAATACGTTAGCTAAAAACTAAATAAGGAAAACCGTCCATAAGATAAGCAAGAATATATCAATATGCTAAAATTAGATAAATGGTAGCTATTTTTTTTACTATAGCTAAAAGCTAAAAATCAGCAAAATGACAGCTAAAAAGGTAAAATAAGCCTAAATCATAGATACAACCAAACAGTTAAAGTAAACAAAACTTTGCCTAAAAGATGTTTGTGTATGTATGGATGTGTGTATGCGTGTGTGTACGTAATCATGCATGGATGGATGTTTGAAAATCAAATCTAAGGAACCTTATATTTAATCATAAATCCAGCAGCTGTCATGTGAGACTGGGACTGGCAGGATGTAACAGACTTTTTTCCCTTCACCTTCTGTTTAGACATGAAAAAATCCAAATGTCTGACTTTTTAAACATGAGTGTTAACGTGTCTGAATAGCACCTGGAAGCCTTGTGAAAAGCACTGACAGATCTCATACTTTTACAATCGGGGCAACTCTGACACAAGGGATTTGCTCTTAAAACGCAGCACAGGGAGGATGAAGGCTGGTATAAAAATCAATGAGGCCTTTCAAAGGCAACATGAAAAACCAGCGCCTCAGCCTGCAATTAAAAAAAAGAGCACTCCTGGTGCTTAGGGGAGGCGGAGTATGTTCCACGTGCCCTCAACTTCACAGGATCAATTACTGGATCAATACTCAGACATGACACAATTCCATAATAGAAACTGGGACGTTGGACTGCTGCYTGTCATGTGTTTCAGATATTTACAGTTGTTCAGCACAAGCAGGGCTGAGCACCGTGGAGCTGTTTTATATAAAAGACAGGAAAACCCTTCTAGACCAAACAGATTCTCCAGGTGGAAACCTTATTTCAAATGTTTTGGCTATGTTAAGAAGCGTTAAAACAGAAGTCAGGGGGGATGTTTATGTCTAAATCTATATTTAACATATATTATACAAGCTGTATAGAGCAATGCAGTTTGATTATTAAAATGTCTTACTTTCAACAACCTTTTGGGACATTTAGCAACAAGTGAAGCCTTTCAAACGTTGTTATACACAACTGAATTACTGTAACGCAAAACATAAACTACATAAAGTATAAAMCCTGCTCAACAAAAAGCTTCTAACTACTTCTGAAATCTATCGTGATTTTCACTCTCAGTTAAGCCAGAATCAATTTGGTAGCATTGGCTTTATGCATTAATAATTTGCAACATAAGCTACATAAATACCAGACAAATCAAGGTTCTATTAGCAAAGACCCTGAGTGTAGGTGTGTTTAATTATTTATTCTGCAACTTTTGGAAGAACGCACTTGCTTTTCTAAAAACACAGTGTTTTGTTTTCAGCAGGATGAGGATTGGCACAGCTACAAAAAAAAGTGAATCTTGCCAGAAGCCTTAATGTGAAGTTTGCACACACTCCGGTATTTTGTTTCATGATTGTTTTTCCTGAGCATTGCTTCCTCCCACAGCCTGAAAACATAAAGMTAAATTAAAGACTCTAACTTGGCTMTATGAGCGTGTCCGATTGTTGGTCTCTGCGTTGGTTTTGTAGCGTTCAGTCTGCACCCTGCCTCTTGCGTGGTGACAGCTGGAATAAGTTGAACTTACCCTTCAGGTATCCAAAGTTACATAAAACATTGCATTGCAGTAAGGAGAACTCAAAGCTAAGGCAAACATTTAAAAAAAAGTAAAACAAAATCCTCTAAATTCTTTGACCCTGCTGTCTTAATAAGACCCCTGCCACTGGCCTCCATCAGCCATTTACCAAAAGGGCAATAACCCCCCAGGAGGACGGCACAGCTCATCATGACAGAGAGGTGATCATGACGTCAATTTCGCCTCGGCCGTTGTGTCGTTACAAACGAGTTAGAAAATCTTCCTCTTTGTAGCTAATTCTGCACTCATTTCTGACAGAAAACAGACAAAAACAGYCACTTCTCACAATAATGACAGATGACATGTTATAGCGATCCAGCAGCCTATAGAAGTGCCTGCCGTAGATATTCACATACCATATCCCCTATTAGCAAAACCACCAGACATCAGCATCATGATATCTTGTCAGCCAGATCTAATTTTGTATTCAATCTTAATGGTTCCTGACAAGCATTTCACCAGTTGACAGGGGACCAGAGGGAATGTGCCACAGTGTGCGAGACCACTCAGCAAATTCACATTTAGCAATTCATTCCTCCTGCTTGGAAAAAATGAATTATTCATCCTTGCTTCACTCGCATTGATTCATCCGGACAAAACTCCCTAAAACACGCGAAATGTTAAACGATTTGTACGTGACCCCTTCCTCGCCGAGGGGGCAGCACAACTGGACCTCTCTAATTCTGACATTCTCACCAAATCCTTGACCCCCTTTTACTCCCTCCACGAGTTATCTGAAATAATCTCAGGCCCTCRTTAGATTCTATTCATCAGAGCAGAAAGAAGCAGGCATTGACATTGATATAAAAAATYCCATCTGTGCCTTGCAGGGGTGAAAAAAAAGAAAGAAAAAAGCGATTGAAAGAAAATGAGACAGAAAAAAAGTGGGGCTTCAAATAAAACTGGCTCTGTTGTCTCTCTCTTGTCCCCTCCGCCTTCCTGCCCCCCTTTTTTTWACTCTCCTCAATGCCATTTCAATTGAAAAGCGCAGTGGTAATTAAATTCCAGCAGGGGTCAGGGGCAACTGTGCAGCATGCTGACAGGGGGTCTGCCCTGACATAAAGATGACACAATTCAACAGGACAGAGGGGGCACCGGGCTGAAGAGAGGGAGGGTGACAAATGCCGTTTATTCACATCCACTGCCGGATTTGGACTGCTCAATCTTCGTGACATTTAAAAAATAGAAATTGAAATGGATATTCAAACTGAGCTGAATCSCACAATGACCTTTACCACAAATCAGAGCTCCTCGAAGCAGACCGGTCTCCTGCTTTCTGTGGTATTTACAGCATATTTTGTGACGCTTAGGAGGATGAACAATTATAAAGGAGAATTTGGGGAAAGCTGTTTTGAGTTTGTGTATGTGTGTGTGAGACAGTACGAGTGTATAACTCAGAAGGATGCTGGTTTTGTTTCCTCACATTATAATCCTGAACCTCCAGAGAGGCCTCACTCTCCTGCTGTCTCCCATTCTCCACCCACTATTAGCAGAACAACACAATCAGTTCAAATTTATATGAAAAAAAGGCCCAATCACGGAAATATTTGCGATTTTMATATAATTCAACATTTAATTGGACACCTGACTTCAGTTTTAAGTGGCTTTATGTTAAATATAATATGGGAAAAATATATTTTCTTTTAAAATTCTTGTTTTTTTTATTCATTTCATGATTTTTTTATACATTTCACATGATTAAATGCATTACTGCAGATATCCAGCATTAGTTTGTGCTCAAAAAAGCTAGTTGTAGAGTGCAAATGTTTTCCAGTTGTCTAATTTATTAAGAGATGTTTACTTTAATCATTTGAGAGAAAAATTCTATGTATTTCTGGCAAAGCAATAAGTTTATTAGAGCTCCTAAATGTCAGCAACTTGTGTTTCATTGAATTTGTTTAACTCTGCTGCCATCTAGTGGCCAACATTCTTAGTGCACATGATTATGCATACCAATGAGTTTGTTAATCCAGTTGATTATTAGTAAAAAAAAAAAAAAAATACAATAAAAATAAACTAATTAAAAAAAATCTGTTAACATTTAAGAAAGTGTGATTCAGTTCCACTCAGAGGGAAATATGCTCCGATCGCCGAAGCTCAGAATTAGCGGCAAGTGTTTCAAGTCTTGTAGTTCCAACATAAAGCCATAAGGCATGTTTGTTTTCTTGTTCAGTCACACATGCGCTTTAGTAACGGTTTAAAACCTCCAGGATTTCCTCCTTGACAGAGATGAGGGAGTGCTGCTGCACACCTGGACCACCGATACTCGTTTCCCAGCAGTCAAAGCCGCAGTCTCTCAGGTCCTGCACCGTGCTTTGGACAATCAAGGTGTCCGTTTCTACAAGATAAACAAGTCAGAGTAAACTGATGTTACAAAAGCTCAGATAGAGATAAAAATACTTTGTAGAACAGCTGACATGTGTCTTAACCCTTGTACGCCCCCCCTCCCCCCCCCAAAAAAAGTACCTAAAACACCTGGAAAAAGCAAATCTAAATTTAATTACATGTTGCTCTTCAGCTCTTTGGTCTACAAAATAAGGCTTGGGCTCTCCGTAACAATTACTGCAACAAAAGCTAAACAAAAAGCAAAGAAATTTGTGTTTTCTTGAAAGTAAACCTTATACAGTTGTAAAGCCTGTTGATTTCCATTTTAAATGGTGCCACGTTTGWAAGGAACATGCATTTGTGGGATGAGCAGTGAAGKTGAGTATGTGGGTTGCCAAAACTCCTCTGTCAAACAACTTAATTTGTTGTTGCTATTGARGCTTTTTATTYAGCTTCTGGTWCCCACAGGTGCTGCCAATCAGGTGCCCTTTATAAGATTTACTGCCAAGAAGCCTTGTTACAACAAAGAAATCATCTACCAAACACACKTTTCTTTACTTTTTGAGCTAAGTGTAGTTCGTGGTTAGTGCTCAGAGTTTAAGGCTCTGGAAAGAGCACAGTTCAACCACGTTGCTCAAAAAAGGTTTCATTCAGAAAGGTAGGGTGGAGCCTATTCATTTTGACACTGTGGTGTTCAAAGTCAACAGGGATCAAGGGCAGGTCACCAACTGTTGAGGTGTTAAATAGGCTCCATTTGAGAGGGACTATTCAYTTTCCCCTCACAGAAAAAAGGAAATAAAAATCCTAAAATTTCAATCAGGTAGCTAACAAAAAAATAAATAAATAAAAATTGTAATTTGTATAATCCAGACCAATGTCTGGCATATCGCCTGATCTCTTATGCAAAGAAATTTACAACAACTAAAAAAGACCAACACCAGCTCAACAAGCACAATTTAGAACAATAACATTAAAGCACATTCAGTTCAAATGATCTCATGCAGCTTCCAGGGACAAAAACTAAATAACTTAGTGCCTCTTTAAACTCAAAATTCACTTAAGAGCATTAGGATAGACAAACACCGCTTGAAAATAACTTTGCTTCACAGAGAAAAGCTTGAGAGGAAAACAAATAAGGAGCATTTGGAAATTTATTTAGGGGATTTATAACATTAAAAATGCAGTATGCTATAGGCTGCAGGCATCAACAAACACTGGAGTCACTGGTTATTCTGCTTGTTTGCTTTGTCAAAGAGTAGTTTAAAAAAAGTTTCCCTCAAAAATGTTTTAGAGTACACAGGCACACGCAGTCTGTCTTATAAAACCTTCTCATTTTCCATTTTTTCAGAGACAAAGCAAGAGGGAGCATTTTATAAAAGCATTTCGGGAATTTTTGAGCCATAAAAAATTCCTCAAAGTGAATTCGTTAAACTAACATTTGGGCAAACTCAAGTGGTGGTGAAGAGGTTATTATGACTTGTTAAAGTTGGATGAAAGGGAAAATATTAATTTATTGTTAAACAAACAAAAGAAAAAACAGTTAAAAGATTAACCATTTTACATCATTTTGCCAAGATTAGTTTCAGAATTCAGCCTGGTGAACTTATAAAGTTAAAATGTGAAGTATTGTCTGCCTGGTATGTGTTATCAAAATCTGATAAAAAAGAAGGCCTTTCCCATTGTTAGAACAGGAATTAATCATTAAAGGCTTTTGGTGCAAACAAGGGCAGAAAGAATGTTTCATTGGGGGGAAAAAAGGAGGAATTTAATCAAATACCAAAAAAAAAAAAATCTGAAAACAAACATTACGACTTCTGTGAAATGATGGAAGATGAAAAAAGCATCAACTTTTAGAACTACAAACATACATCAAAATCCACAGAGCACCATTTGAAAAGGTACAAATAAATGTTTTGCAGTAGCCCTCACAGGCACTCTGACAACTTGAATAGTCCTCGAAGAACAATGATTGTGAGAAAGGAACTTGAACTCACAAAAACTAGAAAACTCTTGGCTGCTACAAAAATTTTGTACAAGCCGTGATATTTGCCAAAGGGAGGGTCAAGGCCCTTTAATTTGTTATTTCCAAACTGTAAACAGAGAAATTACAAAGTAGGCTTTCTTAAAATTTGAAACAAATGTGTCTTTTCTAACTTCATTGCCTTAGGAATTTAAATGACCTTTAGTCACTTATCTTGTCTCAAAAGCAAAAACGTAGCTTGCATGTGCCCAAATGCTTGTCAGTAKGAAATTAAACCATGTTGCTCAGCAGATGAAATAAAGTAGTAAACGGCATGGTCAAATAAAATAATGGATTAAACTTAGGTTATAACATTGGGAGAAGTGTTATAGTCCATCACCTGGTCTCAGGAGTGTGATGCCACAGCCTCCTCCACCTGCGCCTGTTAGCTTGCTGTGGAGTCCTTTGGTCAGTGTGACTCGGCACAATGTGTCTAAAGCAGGGTGTCCCACACCCATCACGTTCAGGTGATGCTGATTGATATCAATAAGCTCCTAGAAATAGCACATTAAGGATGTAATTAGCACATCTTATAGTAGGCAGTAGTTTTTCCTTTAGATCTGACCTTATAGATGTTTATTTTTCAACTGCAACTCCAATTACTTGTGGAGTTCCACAAGGCTGTGTTCTTGGACTTGTTCTGTTTTTATGTTCACATGATGGAGTCCATTTTCAAAAGACATGATACTCCATTCCACTGTTTTGCTAATGATTTTCTGATCTATTWGATAATAAAAATAACAACTAACAAAGCCTCTGTTGAAGTGTATAAATCTCATGAGGCYTGGATAAAACTAAACTTTCATCACAGTGAAAAGACTGAAGTCGTCTTGTTRGGAAAATCTGACATTTTTATATGACAATGGCCTTCAGATCATCAATATTTTGATTTAAAAAGTTAAGTTACTTAGCTATTTTTACCATTTAGTTAGCATTTAGTTACTTTTTAGCTACTGTTATATTCATTTTAGTTTTATGCTACCATTTTGCTCCTTTTAGCTTCTGTTCTCTTTCCTTTAAACTGAACAACTTAGATTCTTCAGTAAATTTCAGCAGTCATTTGGGAATTTGCGCTCATTTCTCTAGTTCCTGTAAAAAAATAAAAAATAAACAATAAAAAATGCACAGAGTTCTAATTAGRTGTACCTCAAGAACATTGTAGTGCTCCCCTGTGATGGGTTCACAAGTCATGTCTGTGAGAACTTTTTCACAAGTACAGGAAATGGCATCAACCGAGTCAAGCACAGGGTTCATGATAGGTGGAAACTGCAAGAAGGAAAAAACAAAAACTAAGAATAAAATCGACCGTTTCCAACATTGTTCTGCGCAGAATTTGAGCAAGAAAATAAATAAATAACGCCAGTGGTGTAAATCTGGAAATCTCCAGCAGTTCGTGACGGACAGCRGCATACAGATTGCACATCAGCACGTTTGGCTTTGATTGTGCTCAACATTGCCACAACATCATGTAAGCACACCTCGGCCTGAAGGTGGAAATCTGCACACCTGCTGATGTCACCAAGGCAACAGCACACAGGGGTCCTGGCTAAGAGTTTAATTTTAATATTTTATGGAGGCACTCAACCCCATGCTCTGGAGTATCAGCCACGCAAAAGCACTGCCTATTATATTAATTACAGTGTCGGCAAGTAACACACGGGGGAGGGAAAAACCATTTAGTACCTTGTTAATTCTGTCCTTCACCCTGGCAACAAGTACTTTGGTGCTTCGTGGTACTTTGGTGTTAGTGAGAAGGATTCTTAATAATGGCACCCTGGAAGTAAGGAAGAGCAGAGTTCATACAGTCCTGATTTTACACACAATGGGCCTCATGCAAGAACCGTTCGTACGCACAGATTTGTTCTTAAGTTGTGCGTACGAGTGATTTAGGAGAATTTGTGGCATTCACCAATGTTTTCATATTCTAAGATTTTCTTCAGATACGAACAAAATTCACGAGTGGTCCAGACCTGTCGTATATTTTACGAGCAGTCAGTCTGCTGTTATCCAGACGGGTTTTCTTCACTAAGAACTTTATATTTTGTTACTTAGAAAATATTTCCAGTTGAAAATAAATTACACTCTATAATTATGTTGACAATAGGTTATTCTGTTTGAACTGGAATTAGATTTTAACGACATAAATTGATTAGATTAAGTTAAATTGTCTTTTAATGCTGCTGTATAACACTACAATATTAATATGAAGATCACAAACTAAAAACCAACTTAAATTATGCATTAATTGAAGTTTGGAGACATTTTAAAATGCGTCTTTTCAGAACCGCATCTGACGCTTGCAACCGCCAGGAGGGGGGAGACTGCCAGGTTGGGGGGGGGAGCGGTGCGCAACCACTCTTTTTCTGAATAAATGAAAACTATGTAACACAGTTGTTTACACTTAAATTAAAAATATTTGACCAAAGAAAAAACGGAGCTGGACTAGAGAGATGAATATGAGTTGGATTTTTATTTCTGTGACTGTAACGACCCACAGGAGGCACGACATTAACGGCAACATTTCATTCCTTTAAGCAGCTCCTTTAATTCCACGACACTGCTAAAAAGATCAAATTTTCTTTTCTCGATCTCTGAGAGCAGGACTTCAATCTCTGAACTCGTAAAGTTCTTCTTTTTTACTTTGCGATGTCATTTATGAATGGACACGTCCTGGTATGTGGGGCAGGAAACGTAGCCTTATATGGTGTTTTTGGGGTGGTAATGTAATGTAATGTAAATAACCTCTCCGCGTGCACGAGCAGCTGGATACGAACAGGTGAAATTCATCATGTTTACACAACTCATTTACACACTTTTCCTGAAGATAGAAGAGTTTGTTGAATCTGACYTGACATGTTCGTACGAACCCTTCATACGAACAAAAGTAAGAGACATTTAGGATAAGAATACAAACATGTTCTTGCATGAGGCCCAATATTTGGTTCCTGTGAGCCAAACACACACGCACTAAAGTTTGTTTGAATAGATATTCAACTAAAATGTGTTCAGAACCTGCTCAGTGGTATTATCTTCCCAGCCAAGAATCTCAGCATGCCACCTACATAAAACATAAATACATAATCACGATGATAATCAGCAGTGATGCAATAATCTTAAAGTACCAGACATCACATGTCTTATCACCCATCTCACCCCACGTTCCCACAGCATTGTCTACTCCTGAAGGATTTCCATGGATGATCAGCTCCCCTTGAAAAGCCCAACTGTTAATGAGCTCCAGGTCCTCCTGACACCATCTAGAGACATTTAAAAATAATAATCTAAAGTGCAAATAAACAAAAATCTACAAAGACTAGTAATGACACACATTTGTGCACTTGAATGACTTGCAGTAACAAAGCATCAAGATCAGGTTTTATAGAAATAAACATTAAACATGCTGGAAATGCAATAAAACATAACTCTGTGTACATGGTTGCTTTTAAAATGTTTTCTAATGAATCATAATGTCAAAACAATTCTCAGTAAAATCAGTGGGCACATTAAATAGCAGCTTACTTCAACTCAATTTCATCTAAAACAGTAAAAACTAAATATAAGTAGAATGGCAAGGAGAATTGTGATTATATTAATATTTATAATATTATTTTGGATATCACATAATAAGATTGAAACATTTGTGACAAATTGGAGATACATGAATACTCAGAATCTGAACATCTATGAACACAGATTAGTGCAGGGCTATTCAATTGGCGGCCTGCGGGCCAGATGTGGCCCGCGAGTGACCAAAGTTCGGCCCGCCAATCGGTTCATTCATCTCTTAAGCCCAAATCCCCAGGTTCCTACTTTAATTACTCTAAGTTCTTTTAGATAGACAAAGACAAGTTTGGAATCTACAGAAACGTCAGAATCTTGGCTATAGGCTGGTAAAAACCCTTTCTACGAACACTCAAGACAGTTAAAATTACAAACAGTTGAAGATAAAACTATGAAAGTAAAAATAAAATTGGTTTCAGTCAGAGATGTCAAAATATTATTTGTGTTCAACAGGAGGCAGAATGTGTCGTTTTTGATATGGTTTAATTATCACTACTTTTATAGGGTTCTGTATGTTGTATTCATGATTAAATGCACCAAAATAAACTATTTCAAAAGTAACAGATCTTTGTAATATTTGGTTTATTTACATAACAACTTTGATTGCTGGACGTTGGGCCCTCAGCTGTTACCTGCAGTAACTGTGGCCCCTGGAGCAGTTTAGTTGAATAGTCCTGGATTAGTGCTTAATCATATACACTGCCTGGCCAAAAAAAAAAAAAAAGTCAACACCTGGATTTAACTAAGGTCTATGATGTGAGGTTGCTGCAGTTGGTCAGGTCTAGGTTCAGCAACAGTATGTGCTCAAAGAATGAGGTCAGCTGACTACCTGAATATACTGAATGACCAGGTTATTCCATCAGTGGATTGTTTCTTCCCTGATGGAACGGTCATATTCCAAGATGACAATGCCAGGATTGACTGAGCTCAAGTTATGAAAGAATGCAATGCCACAGTGAAATTTTTGCTGTAATCAAAGCTGAAGGCGGTCCAACAAAATATTAGAATGTGTGACCTTTTTTTAAATTTAATACATACCGTATTTTTCGGACTATAAGCCGCACCAGACTATAAGCCGCACCCCCCACCCCCCATCAGTAAAAACAAAAACAGCCGCACCCCCCATCAGTAAAAACAAAAACAAAACAGTACACCCAAAATTGTGGTCCAAAAAAGTGAATTCAACATCACATTTATTTTTAAGAAAAAGGTTGGCAAGTTCACCGGTACATAATAATAATAATAATAATAATAATAATAATAATAATAATAATAATAATAATAACTCTCGGGAAAAAAAGGCGAGAGGTCTGGAATTAAAACATAAAAAGCAAACCTTTAGAAATTACCGGTAAAGTTCGGAGGAATATGGTTCATTTAACTGACCTTATTTTGGTAGCTTTCTTTAACCGTTTCTGGTCCAACAAAAAGTCTCATTCATCGTCCTCCGGCGCACTGAAACCGTCGAAGTCCTCTTCAGTTTCGGAGTTAAACAAGCTGAGAAAAGCTGCGTCACACAGCGGTATCCGTTCAGTGCTACTTTCTGTGTCGCTGTCCTCCCGTGGTAATGCTGGCTCTGAAGCTGTGGTGGGAAAGCCCTCCCGCTCCAGCATACGTCACTGCATGGGATTCCTTCCCCGGGGAGTGCAATGCAGAAAAAAAAGTCAGTGGCTCTTCACTCGACGTTTATCCACAAACTGGTCCTGGATTAAGCTTCAAAGTTTTAGCAGTCAGATTCCACCTTGAAAAATGTCTGTTTTATCCCCTTTTATGAGTTTTTGGTCATTGACTATCTTTAAATCGCTGCTTCCTGGTACAACAGTCGGCTCTGGAAGCGATCGCTTTTTTCTTTTTTCTTTTTTTGAAGCGAGTGGTTGAAGCAAATGGAGCATAAGAGCCCCCTGGTGGCTGAAGAAAAAAATCCATGTATAAGCCGCACCGGTCTATAAGCCGCATGGTTCAAAGTTCAGGAAAAAAGTTGTGGCTTATAGTCTGAAAAATACGGTATATAAGTTTTTGGGCAGCACATATTTGGACTAAATACGCATATTTACTTGCAGGTCACATGCCATTGACTTAGAATTATTTAAGGCATTAAGAAATTAAAGAAGAAAAGGTGGCCTTTTGGAAATTCTATAATAAATTATTTCAGAACTATAAACCTGCTTTCTGAATTCCCAAACACTTAAAAAGTTGTTAAAAGAAAACATTTAAATGAACCTTCTATCAAGAAAAAGGATCTATTTTGAAAAGGGTTAAAAACAATCACAGATACAAAACTAGAGTAAACTTTACATGATCTATTATTACCTGGCAGTGTGCTCCCACTCTTTCAGAGGGGCCGTAATGGTTCCACCTGCACAGAGCAGAGCTGCAGCCAAACACACTGAGTAGGCAGCGCTGGAGCCGAGTCCTGCTCCGGTCGGTAACTCTGACCACACAGTCACCATCAAGCTGGGCAGCTCACTGAGAAAACAATTTTATTTTACATAAATACAATATTTGACTAATTACATCTGGTAAAGGATGGCAGCTTAAATGTGTTTATTGAAAATGTAGTTTTCAAATGAATCCACAAAATCAAAACCTCTGTGCATTACTCTTATTACAGTCTCATCAACAGGCAGAGCTCCATTATATTAATGATGTATACAGTGTGTCTTTTGTGCAACCCAAACTTTTCTGACACTTCTGTCAATATCTGTCAGAGAGGGTGTTTTTCAGGCAGAGAGAAGAATACTCTAAACTAATTGTTCACCTCTTCTCTCCAGGGAAAAACACATCCAGACTTGTTAAAGGGTGCACGGTGGCCCAGTGTCTGACTCTCATTAGTGGCCATCCTGTCAGAAATCTTTCACCTCTACGAGACATGCCAGCACTGTGTCAGTGTCGATTAAACCCTCCAACAAGCTGCAGATCTAATGTTCCCGAGCACGTTCACTGTTCACAGCTACTGGAGCCGCTAACGTCCTCTTCTCTCTGTCCTCACTGTCTTCACGTCTATGTTAATGGTTTTTCAAATTAAACACTCGGTAAAAAAGTTTATTTCAAAAAGGAGGTTAAAAACTGGAAACGTGTCCAATCACTCATTTATTGTGTTTTACACTTTTGCTTTTTAAGTTTGTTCTTTTGCTAATTTTAGCTTTTAGCTACTGTTGTTCTAATTTCAGGCTTTAGATATGGTTTAGCTAATTCTAGCTGTTAGCCACTGTTGTGCTAATCTTAGCTTTTCACTACCGCTGCACTGTGCATATGTTTAAGCAACTGTTTTGATAATTTGAGCCTTCAGAAGATGTTTTGCTAGTTTTAGTTTTTAACTACTGGTTTGTGGGCTTTTAGCTTTAAGCTACCATAAATTTAGCAAATTTTAGCTTCTGTTCTGGTTGGTTTACCTTTGTCTATTGTCATCTCTGACCAATCACGGCAGATGCAGCATTTTGAAAATATCACTGACAAGAACTAAAATAAATTGTTTCACACAAAAGTCATATTTAAAGATTTTTTTTCTTCCTTGCAGTGGTTCTACATCTCCTGTTGTCTAAAAGTGCTGAAATAACACAACTGAACAGGGTAAATACTTTCCCATTATCTGCATAAAATGTTTTTTTTTTTTGACAAAACTGTAACATTATCCAAATCAAATCACAATCAGTATCTAATACCAGAAGGCACTGGCAACACGTGTATTTAGCTAAGAGTCCAATCATGATTTTTTGTTTTTGTTTTTTTTTTTTATTTGGAGAGTAACTGCTCATAGAAATCAGCAAAATTAAACTGATTTTCTTGCTAAAGGTTATGTGAATTAGACTATAGTCACCAACATATATAAAGAAACGGCTTTGATGGTCTGGTTTCAGTAAAATGTGTAACTGATGGGTAGATATCTTACCCTGATCCAAACAGTGACAGGTAGATGTAAAGGAAGGCTAAGGTGGCCGTGRTGCTGTTGTCCAAACTTCCATCTGTAACACCCAGAAATTCACGCAGTCGCTTCACAAGTTCAGCATCCAGACGTTGCCTTGATGACACCTCTTCCTTTTTATCTGATGTTATTTAAAAAGACACACAAACACACATTTTCCAGATGCAATAAAACATGAGGAAGGGGGCATTTGTTTTTTTTTTCAATTTTTTTCATTAATTATACTTTTTAGAATAAATAAATGTGAAAGAAACCAGAAAGAATAATAATATAAAGTGCATTTTATTAAGAACATATGTTCAATGTAAAAGCCAATATTAAAACAAAAGAAAACACTACAAAAATAACAAAAAAACTATTATTTTCCATTTGTTAGGGTACATACGTTCACAAACTAAAATATCTTGAATACTGAGATCCACTTATCTTCAACCAAAAGGTTGCAGAGGAACACCAGTTGCTGGCATTTACTTTTCACTTTTATAGAACGAAAAAGACCAGCTATAATTAACTGGAGAAAGGTGAGAGCAACATAAAAAATATATACAAAAAACTGTAGTGTAAAAATAATTACATTAAGGAAAGCATATTGCATAACTTGCATATGTTATAAACAGAGTTGCACATAATTGGAGCATTGGTGCGCATGCGCGATCAAAAAAGAAAAAGCGCACCAGATGGAATGTCATAAAGCTCCCATGCATGCCTAAGATTGTACCTGAGATTGTGAAAACAACAGCTAGCAGGGTCACAAATGCCACCTGATTTCTTAAAAACAAACAAAAAAATAAAACTCCAGCCTCACTCGTGTGACTGGATCATCATTCTGAGTGGAGGGCAGCGGGATCCTGATGTATAAGGATTAAACGGACACTGCTTTCAACGAATAAGACGAACTCCAGAGCTGTTTTATCCAATCAGAGCAGAGCAGYGCGGGACTTTCAGTGAAAGCTGTTTTCAGCAGAGACTGTGGAAGCAGCAGCAGCAGCAGCAGCGATCAGTCCTGATATCTCCTCCTGCACTTTGCTCCCTAACTACCAGAGACTTTGGTCTTTAAAACCTAACTTTATATTAAATATATGTTCAGAGCGTTGTTATCAAACAGATCTGTCCAACTTTGCATCAGTAACTAAACTCTCTCTTCCTAAGAGACGGGAACGCGCCTTAGTGCGCAGGCTGAGTCTTTCTGTGAGATTCACTGTTCGAGTTCTTCTAAACCAGATGTGCCCAAAGTGGGGCCCGTGGGCCAAAATTGGCCCTCCAAGCCGTTTGATTTGGCCCACCGGCAGTTGTCCTGGTTACTAGATTGTAAGTATGTTAAGATTAAATATAAAATACAAGTAACTACAAGAGACATTTAGATTAGATTTAAGTACATATCTAGATTTGCACACCTTATACAGGTAAGACCCCATATACTCAGATTTTAAATTATGAAAAGTCCCATGAATGAGTTTTAAATGTTATTGTAATTTATCAGAAAGATCCCCAAACTTCATTCTTGACAATTTTATGATAACAACAAGGTTGTTGATGTGCTAAACATGTTTACATTTATAATCATACTGTGACACAACTGCTGTGGGATAAATGTAGTTCAATAAATGATAAAATACAAAGAATAAATAATTTTAAATGATTATATAAGCTGAAATCATCTAAATATAATCTTTTTGAATGGTCTTTTAAAAAAGAAATCAGTCTAGCAAATAAAACATTTGTTCTGTGCAAAACACAGACATTTGCTGCTTGGTCTGGAGAGTGTGGAAAGCTGGTTTAACCAAGGCCAAAGATCTAGAAGGCCAAACTACAGGAGCTGTACATCTCAGGGTCATATGTAATCTAACAGACATTTAAACATGAAATATTCAGTTTGAGATGACATATGTCCATGGGTCAGCCCATTGGCCACTTAGGTAGTTTACAAAATGTATGCAGAGTAAAAAACAACAACAACAACAACAACAACAACAACAACAAAATAAAAAACTCTGATTTGGCATGATGTCCCGAGACATTGCCAGCTGATAGAAGGAGTCATAAAACAGAACATGGCAATAATAAATGCCCGGACACCCCTCTACATAAATGTGTTAAATGAGTTAAGGAAAATATGAGCACCAAGCAACAACCCCAGGTTCTCCCCTGAGAACCAGACCAAAAATGTTATGTGCAACCCTGGTTATAAATATGTTTTAATCTCCTTTTTTATTTTAAATGTTTTTTTATTCCAGGTTAACACTTTTCTACTAAATATTAAATTTACCACAAGTCATCCATTACTACTATGTTCAAAAGTTTCACTGAGTAAAAAAAAACAAAAAACAGCTTTTTTCCCCCCTCTCTTACTTTAACTTATTTGTACTGTAGCAGCCCAAAGTCTGAACACATCTTCAGTCCCAAATTAAATCAATAAGTGAGCCAAGTGTAGATATTGGAGATAGGACAGATCTCTTGTTTTGCATCAGTTCCTACCCCCACAGGCCAGCAGATGCTTCAGTTCTGACAGGTCCCAGCAGAGGAAGGTGTCCATGTTTGGAAAGTTGATGCAGACTTTTCCATTAGATGTGGCATTTAATCGCAAATATGTCCTCAGGTTCAAACTCACAGCAAGAGCCACCTAAGAAAGAACCAAGAATTAAGCTATTTCAGRACAACAACAGTTTAATAGATGTGTCGCATTATTTAGTGAAGAAGTCAAAGAGTATMTGCTGGAAACACAACAAAAATATAGACAACTACTGAACATTTTAGTCCAACAACCAGAAACCCAAAGTCTTTCTGTGATATTCTGGTTCTCTCATACATGTTACCTTTCCGTGAACCACAGCGTGCTCTCCGTGGAGGATCGCCTTTCCAGGAGCAGAAACCAGACAGTTTGTGACCTGCATTTTCTGTAAATGTTCAGTCAAAAACGACGTTTCTTAATTAACCRGTTTCAGACACAGCATGCTTATTATCACTGCAGGCTTAGCCTAATGTGCTGAGACAGCAACAACTCCTCCGCCACGCAATTCSTCCTTATCACGGCAGACAACTGATACATATGTGTAGAAAAATAGCTATTAAGAAATACCACTGGACAGCTMTAAAGTTTGACTACTTTCCGCTACACGCGACAGAACTAAAACACGATTTACATGCAGGGAAAAAAAGACGAACTTGCATTTGACTCCCATTATCCAATCAGCGCCACAGATATTAGAACACGTTTTCTTTTTAGCCAATCAACGTTCAGAATTTTGTTGTTGCGTGATGAGTCGACCAATCACGCGATAGAATTAAAACGCCCTCTCAACTACGGAAACCGCAGAGAGACAAAATACAGACAAGCACAATATTTACATGTTGCTGTTAGCATTTAGCCCAAATATGACATTTTTTATCACCAAACCTTCTTTTCTCCGCTGTTTTATGCGGACTCGCAGTCTTATAAGCGAGCATCAAACACAACAAATACTATGTTCAACTAGAAGGTATTTATAATTCTCTGTCGTGTGTTGGGATGTGGGTAAAATATTTTGCTGTCTGTGCAATGTGCTAACAATTCTTTTTCTCATAGCTAAATGATGACTAAGTTATATGAGATGCTTTTWAAAAATCTATACTTTTTTCAACAGTTATGCCACAGAAGGAGAAAAAAGGACACCTAAAATATACACTAAAACTGGAGATAAAGGTATTTTATAAGGGTTTAGTTGCTTGAAATTATAACATTTACACAAGCTCACTCAATTCTTTCTCTTCAGGTTTCTCCAGCACATTCACGGGAGAAAGGAGGCCAAAGGAAGATAATGTTTTTGAAGCGATGGGAACTACAGATGAGCTGTCATCAGCTATAGGGTATAGTGTTTTTATTCTACTGTARAACATTCATTAGAAGAGTTAAAATAAAATATTTTTGATCATCAGGTAAAATATTACGCATAACTTACGAATAAAATCACGCAAGTTAGAAAGTTGTTTGAAAATGTGTTTAAAAAAAACGTATTATTCCTTAATATTGATGCCATCATGATCATCCTGTCTTGTTTAACAGCTTGGCCAGAGAGTTTTGCCTGGACAAAGGTCACACTTTCACAGATCAGCTGGACAAGGTTTGATTTTTGATTTTTCAAGGTTTGTTGTCCACCTCAGATCCAGCATTTAGTCACCAATAAGATGAGATTTTTTTTTCTTGTTTATTGCAGATACAGTGCATTCTACAAGATGTAGGGTCCAATGTTGCTACCCCTCAATCATCTGCAAGAGAAAGCCATTTAAGTAAGCAAACACTGGATTTTTATCTCCTTTTGTTTTACATTTTAAAAGAAAGATATTTGGGTTGAGGGTTTCTTTTCTTTTTGTTTCACCAAGAACGAACAAAATTCAGCGCTCAGTCGATCACAGACCTGGAAACCTGGATTGATAAATTTACAGAGGAACTCCCAACCTTAACCAACTTTATTTTACCAGTAAGCCTGTTTGTGCTCCTGTGTACACGTTTTTAACAAAGTATAGATTTTCCTACATGTGGTTTACGTTTCACAGTCTGGTGGGAAGAGTAGTGCGGCCTTGCACTTAGCTCGGACCGTCTGCCGGAGAGCAGAACGCAGGTAAGTTTCATCACATTTGCTATTTTAAAATGATTTTACTTTTTTATTTAATTGTTTTGTTCTTTCAACGTGTCTGTTACTTTTACAGTGTTGCTCCAATCGTGCGCTCAGGAGAGGCAGATCCAGATGTTGCCAAGTTCCTAAACAGGTCATTATTATGTCTGAAAAACATCACAGTTTAGCCGTCTTACARGTCTAATAAATATTCTAATTTCATGCAGGCTAAGTGACTACCTGTTCACAGTTGCCAGATARGCAGCCATGAAGGAAGGCAGTGAAGAAAAGATCTACAAGAGACCTGAATGACCTCAACTAAACATCAAAGTCTCAAATGTGTTTGGGATGGTGGATGAGGATAATCCAGTTATGGGGTAAACCCAGAACAAAAAGTYTTTTATTATTCTGATGTGTTTATTATTCATTAAAAATCAGTTAGGTGYTACATATACATCTACTATATTAAAATTCTACAAAGTTTTATTAGACAATGTGATTTTTATTTATAAAGACAATAATGACCAAATTATTCACACTGATATTTAAAAAAAATGTTGGATGTTTCACCATCCCAGTAGTAAAGTCGGCCCTTGTGTATTAATTCACCAGCAGTCTGTCGCATGTTCACAACATTTTGAGGAGGTTGGGTTTCGGCCCCATCATCCTTCTCCCACACCATCACATGATCTGGCACCAGCCCTGGCTCTTCTGGGACAGGGTACAGGCCCAGGTCATTAGAGACAGAGTGTGGTCTTCGTAAGGCGGATAACGTAGATAGGTGACGCACTCGAACCGCGTGCCTCGAAGCAAGCATGCCTTCCTGTGAGAGAAGGTGTCGAAGCTGTAGCGGCCGTGGAGGGACCCCATTCCACAAGTACCTGGAAGAAATAAAAAATATTGCAAGCACCCATCTGTCACAGTTACACAAACAGTATATACACGTGGCAGACTCACCCACTCCACTGAAAGGCAAAGCCACCATCAGGCTCTGCAGGGTGCAGTCGTTGGAACAAAAACTGCCACTTGAAGTCTCGCTCATTAGCCTCGAAATGACCTGCGCTAACACAAACYCGCGATCACGACCTGCTGAGAAACTTAATGAAGACGCTCGTTTTAATCATGTACCTTATTGTTGGTGGAATATGCGTACACACAGAGGGGTTTGTCTTGCTTATTAATGAAGGCAATTGCTTCGTCCACATCATTTACTGTCAGGATTGGAAGAACTGGGCCAAAAACATCCTGCTGCATGATGGGATCTGATTCTGCAACGTCCGTCAAAACTGTTGGAGCTTCAAAAAATATAAATAATAAGATAAAATGACATTGGTACACACTGCATCTATAAAAGCTATTTGTACACAAGTCAGTAATAAATGAAATTACCAATATACTTCTCTGCCTCAGTCACCTTCCCACCAGACACCACCTTTCCAGATCTCCACAGCATGTCTCTCGTACGGTGGAAGATCTCTAGGTTGACCATGCGGCCAAAGCTGCGGGACTCTCGGGGATCCGGGCCGTAAAACTGCATCAGGCAGCACTTCAGGGCCTGCACCAGCCGGGCCTTCACGTCCGCGTGGCATAAAATGTAGCTGGGAGCCGTTAAGCTCTGACCTGCATTGTAGAAACGTGCCCAGGTGATGCGCTGCACGGTGGTCGTGATGTCACAGTGCTGGTCCACGTAACARGGATTCTTGCCTCCCAGAATCAGGGTCACGGGGGTCAGGGTTCTGGCTGCAGTCATGGCAATCCTGCTTCCCTCCTCTCTGTTTCCTGGGGGAGGGACACTTTTAATGAATTCCATTTTGTCTAATACTTAAMAAGTGTTTAAAGATGTTTAAACTCTTACCTGTAAAGAAAACATGATCAAATTTGAGCTCCACCATCTCAGGCAGGTCACTGACGCCTGCTTGAATTGCATGGAAGCATTCCTTGAGAAAACAAGAAATAGGCAGTGGACACTTATTTATTTTTTACATTATGCAAACTAACACACAAGCTAATAATTAAAACACAAACAGGAACACAAACTTGAGCATCACCTTGGGAAGACAACAAAAGTARGAGTCTCACCACAAGATGGCTCTCTTCATCCAGAATGTTTTTAATCATTCTGCTTTAGGCTACAGTTAGAAAATTATTCTGTTTTGCTTGCAATAATCAATATCAAAAGTATTCTCAGTTTATCTGAAACAAGTGGGATAAAAATTACGTAGAATGAGTCTAAAAGTAGTACCAAAAATTACTAAAAAATTTTATGCTACTAGTTTCACGCACTGTACCCACTGTCATTTCTAAATATACAGTGGGGTGCAAAAGTTTGGGCAGCCTTGTTAATTTTCCTTTATAAATCATTGATTGTTTAGATTTTAAAAAAAATCAGCAAAATATAATCATATAGGGGACAAAGTGATATTTGAGAAGTGAAATGAAGTTTATATGATTTACAGAAAGTGTGCAATAATTGGT